ATAGAGAGAGAGAGAGAGAGAGAGAGAGAGAGAGAGAGAGATAATGTGGTAATGGGTTTCTTGTCCATATAATAAATAAATAACTAAATAAATAATAGAAGTTTGATGAAATATCAAGATCTTGAATGAAGGAATCGAAAGAGTATAAAAAATCATGTTGACTGAAGAAACTTTTGGACCACCCTGGATACATTGATGATTCCGGTGTAAATTATTAAATATCAGCTAATATTAAAATTTAATGGATCGACCCGTACTTGATAAGTACTTCAGCCTGGTCATATGGAAATTGTCTTCTTTGATCCTTTTTTCGGTGGATGTATTGTTCAGAACATAGTCTGGAAAGTTATACTTCGTGTTCATTCTCCTTTGAGCTGAAAGAATTATCAAAATCTGTTCGTATCATCGGCGCTAGTCTTCGAAATGCAATTAGTTATTGAATAATAATTGTTGAAGAAACTTGAAGTACTTGTAGTCATATTAGGTCTCGAAATGCTATTTCCAGGCATAGTACGTTGCTCAGGGTGGATAGTTCCCTCGCGGGACGAACCTGGGTCGGGATCCCCCCCTCTGTCATCTTTGGGTGCATGTTCGGTGTTAGTCGCGTGCATTGGCGGGGATGACGAGTCGCCGCCGCCAATGTGGGGACCCGACAGACTCGATGTATGGTCTGTCATGAGCGCGTTTCTCGTCTCTGTTTAAATAACAAATAAATAAATAAATGAACAAATGAATAAATAATTTACATATCATCGATCACCGTAAGTGACTTTCTCGAGCCAATCGATCCCAAAAGAGTCGGTCTTGCTTCGACCTTAAATAACTCAGCCGAAAAAAATCGCACCGAAACCAAGAAACACCAACTTTACGCAGAAAGGTAGTCGCTTTCGATTGCCATAAACGAAATTTGTCGCTAAAATTTTGTTCGCTTGATGCAGCATTGCATAGACGAACAAAATTTTGAAAAATCTTCAAAGCATCCTGCAAGATCGAGAACTTCGAAAATCATTCACTTAGCCGAGAAATAATATAGTTGAAATCTACGGAAAGCATCTAAATGTAGAGATTTCGCTCTTTCAAATGACTTTCGAACGACATCGATACGATCATTTTTGTCGAAGTTACGGCAACGCGAAGCCACCCTGTTCTTCTTAGAGGTGGTCTCTTTAATTCAGCAGAGCGCGCAACAAAAAAAAAAGGAACATTGCTATCGCAACGTTCAACTTTTCGATTAATCGTTTTTCCTTATTATCGCATAATGAATATTTCGCTGGCATTCGCTGATAAACCGCTCTGCCCGATCCACGCGAAGAAAAAGCTCGCGCAGTCGCGATCGGCCATTAGAACGCAGCCCCGGTGTTCCGCGGCGAATAATGCCTTTGTTCCGCAATTACACCGCTCCAATTAAGGGCTGACATCGAGCCGGCTTTAACGACTATTCCGCGGCGTGGTAATTCGGTAATAAAATGACTTTCCGCCGGCAGCTTATTAATCGAGCCGCGCGGCGGTGTCTCGTTTGTTACGAGGGCGATCCACTCAGCGCTAATGTAACGCAAATAGACACGATCGAAACGTTAATTACGATCGACCGTCGTTTGATCAGCGGTCGTTCCCGTCGACCTACGCCCGACTAGAGCAAGAACAACCGTAATCATCGGTTTGCGAGACCAGGATCCAGGAACTAGTGCATTAAACGTTCCAGGTATCACCTGGTTTTTCTAATTACCAACGATACAGCCAGACGCTGCCTCGATCCGATCCACTTTGTATCCCCGGCTTTATCGCCGTGGAAATCGTTTACTAGCGATCCACAAAGTCGTCGCACAATCCCGCCGTTCTATAGCGCTTTATCGCGTTGCCAACCGTCTCGCAGCGAGCAAAAAGGCAGCGTCTGACGAGGAGAGCGAACCATCGGGTCACCGACTTCGTAGAAATTGTCTAGACTTATGGATCTTGTTACGCCGATCATGGCAATCTCAGTACGCTCTGTGACACTTTGACTGCCGACAAGTAATTTCGGTATTTTTATATGCTATCTATTTGGAAAACCGAAATTTATAACAACTCGATACGACAGAAATCAAACAAAAATGGAAAAATGGCATCTACTTCGTAGAAATTGTCTAGACTTATGGATCTTGTTACGCCGATCATGGCAATCCCAGTACGCTCTGTGACACTTTGACTGCCGACAAGTAATTTCGGTATTTTTATATGCTATCTATTTGGAAAACCGAAATTTATAACAACTCGATACGACAGAAATCAAACAAAAGTGGAAAAATGGCATCTACTTCGTAGAAATTGTCTAGACTTACGGATCTTGTTACGCCGATCATGGCAATTCCCATACTCTCTGTGACACTTTGACTGCCGACAAGTAATTTCGGTATTTTTATATGCTATCTATTTGGAAAACCGAAATTTATAACAACTCGATACGACAGAAATCAAACAAAAGTGGAAAAATGGCATCTACTTCGTAGAAATTGTCTAGACTTACGGATCTTGTTACGCCGATCATGGCAATTCCCATACTCTCTGTGACACTTTGACTGCCGACAAGTAATTTCGGTATTTTTATATGCTATCTATTTGGAAAACCGAAATTTATAACAACTCGATACGACAGAAATCAAACAAAAATAGAAAAATGGCATCTACTTCGTGGAAATTGTCTAGACTTATGGATCTTGTTACGCCGATCATGGCAATTCCAGTACGCTCTGTGACACTTTGACTGCCGACAAGTAATTTCGGTATTTTTATATGCTATCTATTTGGAAAACCGAAATTTATAACAACTCGATACGACAGAAATCAAACAAAAATAGAAAAATAGCAGCGTAACAGTCAATTCTGAAATCTGGGCAAATCATTTCGTCATCCACGCACGGGTGATGCGACAGTCAAAGTATAAAATCGAATAGTTTTTTTTTTTAATTAACCAGTAACTCCGCGCAACTTCAAATAAATTATTATTAATATGCGTTAATGTAAATATTTAAATCCACTATAAACTAATCGAGTTTGCAATCGAGTTTCGATGTAAATCTACTTGCACTTACTAATTACGAAATACGCAATATTTACTCAAACAATAACTGGCAGTATTTGGGTGTCCGGTTGAGGGCTAAATGAAACTGGTACATCAGATCTATCGTTAAAATTTTTGTAAAACTGTAATTGACTGGAATGGTGACGGAAGATCCGAAAGATGCCTTTTCCGAATCAGCGCAGCAAACTCTGTGAATCCGCAAGGATTTCCGAATCGGTGACCTTTTGAGGTCCTACTCTGTCCTTGGAAGGAGGACTCACCAGCGAGTCACAAAGGCTGCCGGCGACGAGCCCATTGATGGATTCGCCGTGCGACCTGTCCTTTCGACAGCCACTCGTCCACCGTATCGTCCACTATTGTCTTGCTCGTCCAGGACATTGCAGTTGTCCGAGGCGTTAGTACGTATTTTTCTGGAGCGTCGCGACGCAGGCTTTCGGGGATTAGACGTCGTTCTAACGATGACACGGAGAACCTGCTCAGTTTTCTCGCGCGTTTCTCGGTCCTGGATCTTGGACGTCTGGTTCCGTTTGCTGAAAACATAGCCGGATTATCGTCTGCTTTATCGGACACGGTATTTCTGCAAAAATTGATACGCGTTGGAGAAAGTTTAACGAGGATCGACGGCGCTATTTCTGGCAGAAAATGTTCGATTGGATTGTTCAAGGAATTAATTGGATGTATACATAAAACGAAAAACGGTGTTGCATATTGCACGCGATAGACGTGTACGGTCAACGGTATTTCTAGAATAATGGGATGAAAAATGTGCGAGCACTTTTCAATGCTTCCACATATGAGCCGTTTATTTTGAAAGTGGCATAAGAGAGAGAGAGAGAGAGAGAGAGAGACACGTTTTTTTTTAAATGAAAAGATACCGTTCAATTGTAATTAGTGTTAAAAATTGACTCGATTTTTTTGAAAAAGTGACTTATGCCACTTTCAAAATAAACGGCTCATATCCGTCTTCGTCGTAAATGAAAATATTTTTGGAAACACTGCATTGCAAGCAGAGATACGAATACGGGAATTTTGTTTCGCTCTGACCGAATACTGTTTGCCAGAAGCAGGAAAACACTGACATGCTCTTACTTAATCGTGAGTCCAGTTTCCTCCGCAATTCCACTGAAATACTTATCTTTTAATCTGGCATTCGTCTAATCTTTAATCTGTTAAATCCTCATAATGAATAATATACAATTTCGACATTCTCGGCTCTCAATAAACACGGCAATGATCATGGATGAATATTTATATTTGATCTCGAACGAGGGACAGGACAACACAAGAAGAAACTGATTTAGTTGGACGTCTGAATTTTCGGCTCCATAAATTCATCGTCAAAAATAGATGATCGTTCGAAAATATTCTTTAAGGCTTCGCAGGCTGACACCTATCGCTCTAGTCAGGCACACCTTTGCCTCGAGACGGGTCACGGTTTTGCACGGCGTCTTGGGACACGCTCCTGGCAGGTGGCAGAATGTCAAGCTTTCTGGTCCTCGCGTCACCGATCGGAGTTTCTGCCTCGATCTCCGGCTTCTTCTGTTCAACGATCGGGCCAATGTCGATCTCGTGTGTGGCCTTTCTCCACGTCTCGAAGTACTGCTTGCTGTAAGGGTAAGGATCCCCTGGCAACCTAATGTACTCGCCGTCGTTGACATAGTTATCGCTCAAGGCTGGAGGCTCTTCGGATTCCTTCTCGAAAGCGTCGCTGTTCTCCGCCCATTCCGCGGATTGCTGCTCCTTCTTGCGCTCTTCTTTCGCGGACTTCTCTGAAAAGTAATCGTCCGCGCTGTCGATCGGATCGATAACCGATTAATTCTGTGACTTTAACACGTTCCGTGTCAAGCCGTTTTTGCTGGACTTGTCGTCCAGGCCATTTGACGTTTTGACTAAAGATTGACATATTATGGCACAATATTTCATAACATCATCAATTCGTAAGTAGTTAGCTGCGATAGCATAAGTAGTTACTTGGCGCTGCGATCAGTTCGATTGTAAAAGTCAGAAACTCTCCTCGGAAAAAGAACCTGCTGTATTCGAATTGGTTAAGTAAAAAACGAGGGACTGAAGTAGCAAGACATACAAACTATAAGAGTGACGACGTTTTGCAGCAATTGCCCGAGAAAGTCATTTTTAAGTCTTGTCTTAACAAAGTCAACCATTGCATGTAATTATTAATTATTGTATATGTAACAATTAAACAAATTTATGTGCTTTGTTTTATACTGCATTTTTTATAATGCGTCATTATTTTGGTGGAAATATATTTTACAGAATTAAATTTTGTCATAAAATATATGTTTTCGGCGCATTAAATAAATATGTCTGCGTGTACCATCGGTGGTACACGTGGCACGGAACGTGTTAAGAAAAAACGCTGCATGTCTAACTCTGACCTTCTCGATTCGCTCGATTAGCACTGCCCTTTACAACCTCATTCTACTCATCGAGATTTAGTGCGATTGACCTTTTTTACAGGACACCTCAAATTATTAATGACAACAGCGGCAAAATAGACATATCCGTTCACGTAAACCGCTGATTCGCCGATTCTGTATTAGTATTAGCTTTGTGTTCTGTATTATAAAAAATGGGTCTATACTCGTATATATAAATAAATAAATAAATAAATACATTAATTAATTAAAAAGCTTTCAATTAATGCATTAATTGAGCTGTAGCATATAAGATTTACGCATTTATGATAAAAAGCATCGCGAAAACAAATTTATATAGACTGCAAAAAATGATGCAATTTAAAACGTTAAAACGCTACTAATGCGAACCATGGGCGATGAGAATTTTGAGCGATAATATTGGGTTGGCAACTAAGTAATTGCCGATTTCAGTTATAGATGTCTCTCACTCCCATTTTTATGATGTCCGTAAATGTTATATTATAAAATTATTATTATTATTATTATTATGTTATTTTTTATTATCCGTGAACGTTAGCAACTGGACAAATTGAATGCAGCGGTCAAGGAAAAGCGACCAGAATTGGTCGATCGTAAAGGTGTCATTTTCCAGCAGGACAATGCTAGGCCGCACACGTTTTTGTCCACTCGGCAAAAATTGATGGACATTGGTTGGGAATTGATGTTACACCCACCATATAGCCCTGATCTCGCGCCATCGGATTACCACTTATTTCGATCCCTGGACAACTCCCTTCGTGGTAAAACTTTTAA